AAGTGATATATATATATATATATATATATATATATATATATATATATATATATACATATATATTTATATATGTATAAAACACACGGTGCACATAACTATAGTAATCTGAAGAAAGCACGTTTTACATTGGCGGTTAATGATTAACTAAAGCGATCGCGATAACCGGTAGCTCGGAAGGTGTCATTGATATCATAGATAAGATTGGTATACCTTTTGATACACCCAAAAAATTATTTTGATAAGCGGGGAATTTCTCTTATCACGTCCTCTGAGCAAAAAATCTTACATGAATCAGACGTGTGTATTTATAATACGTATTTATCTATAAACCTGAAAATACGTGAGCTATAAAAAATTAATTCCTCTGTAGACAATTCTATTATAACAACTTTTGAAATAAAAGAATACACAAGATGTTAGCGATTAATTATTAAAAGAAGTTCGATTTACGTGCTACCGAATGTACACGTATGTCAGTACATGCAAAATATTCTTCTAGCATCGGAAAGATTGCGATCTTAAAATTCAGCATCTTATTATAGTTATACAAAATTCCTCTACCTTGTACAGTATCTTCTTGAGGTCTATATACATTATACATACCAAGTGTCTGGCAAGACTATAGCAATAACTGACAGGAAGATAGGTGGGACTAAACTAAGTCGAAAAGTCTATCATTTTGCAATTTTCGTAATAATTAACAAGATATTAATTATTAAAAATCACCAAATATTGGTTTTCAATTATTTTTTACACAAGTATTAATGTTATCAACAATATCAACTTTACAGAAAAACAATATGAGATAAAAATTGTTTATTTTTGTCTCATAGAGCTCTAAGAATTCTTTCAGGATTTTTTATTAACTTTTCAGAGCTGCATTTTCTAATCGGATTGTGAAACTTGCAAAATGGTAGAGGATTTTTCAACTTAATTTTTCACGAAGTTTCACGTTATAATAATATTGTCCTCAAATAATAATACTGTCCTCGGGACCCTGTCTATCTCATATAGTACGAAAAAAAATAGCACATTGCTTACTTTAGCACAATTTTATTTTTACTGTCAACTAAATTGGCACTAATGGATACATATTATAAAAAATATATTTTATTTAATATTCGCACAATCGCATCATATTTCATCCTTGTTGTTTATCAAATGTTTGCGAATGTTAAACAAAACACATCCATTGTCGTGTAAAATAATTTACAAAATAAAGAATCATAAGTATTTGCATTTATTTAAAGTGAAAAATATAATATATTTATTACAAAAATTATTTAACGAGTTAATAGTACGATTCGATTTTCAAAAAATTAAATAAAATAATTATGTGTATTGCAAGTACTAAAATTTAAGTTTGCTTTAGATAATGTATAATATAAAATTTTGAGAATGTAATTCTATTTATATTTTTATACATATGTATGTTACAAAAAATGTTTAAGGAATTAGAATACACACAGATATATAAAATATACTTATAAGAAAGCACAGACCATATAAAATATGATTACAATTTTAAAATCTGACAAGAATTAATAATAAATAGATCATCTAAAGTAAGCTTTTAATAACATTATGAATGCTAAAAAGATCGAAGAAATATAACTTATAAGTAATATAAGAAGTCATCAGCTTTAAAAATTATACTGATTGAGTAAAAATTGAAAAAAAAGAGATAACTAAAAAAATTTTTTTTTATAAAAGTAATCTGTGATCTATTGACTGAATAATCTGACGTAGTTTCAAAATTCTTCATATGACGTTTTATATTATTTTACTTAAATAAAGTTTCTAAAATGTATCTGACCTGTGTAAAGACAATTCGTATAAGAATAATCTATTTTTATTGTTTATATTTTAAAGAATTACAAACTTATTGCAACCTTTTAATTATCTCCATAAGTGCTAAAGCCTGTGATTGTACTGTAGATGTATAAAATGCAATTTAGCAGAGTGAGAATCTAAATAAAAATAAACATTTTTTACAATCTAATAAAAGGTACAACACATAATTATTTAATACAACATATTTAGACTTAGTAAATCTTTTCATCACTTTTTATGATTTTGATAAAAATTCTCACTAAAAGAAGTTCAACTCAAACAGAAATCTAATACTGGCCAACTGAAAGACAGTAATTAATTATTTATTTTACCCAGACAGCATATTTATGATAAATATTCGTATATATATATGTATATATATATATATATATA